ATAACAACTTAACAGAGGTGTGCAGATGCCTATGGATTTACTCAGGATCTGGGCAGATGCATATAGCCCTGTGAAAGGTTGCAATGTTGCATCAGTATTTGAGCAATGCTCATTCACGTACTTCTCTGAACTCAATGCTGGGATACCCTTCAATACCTTGCTCACAATACACAGACTGGACCTAAGCATAATGACACCTAAGCAGTGGTCTAACTGTGGTCAGGGTGCACGAGCTCAGGAAGCAGTTAAAGCTGCCACAGCCATCCAGCAAGTGCAGAGGAAAGACATGCAGGTGTACTGTAGAAATGCCCATATAAAGTGCTGCAGCCTGTGCAATGAAATACTCTTCCTCTGAACAGAGGGGTAACAAGCGGTGATAATCATACACAAAATCCCTGCCCCAATATCAAAGGTTCCATTTTTGTTACAAAAAAATCACAGCAAAAGAGAAAACCTCAGATCATCCTTCGTGAACCAAAAAAAGGTTGCCTTGTCTTAATGTTTCAGTTACAGAAATGTTCCTGTTGCCATCCATAGAGAACAGAGCCCAGCCACTCACAACACACCAGTGGCATGTGTCAGAAGTTCTGCTGCACAGACAAGAAGGCACAGTGTAAATTCAGCAGATTTTTCTCTTATGTCACATCCTGGGAGGTAGATGAACAACCTAGAAATCCAGACTTCTTCTCATAAAGGACTTAAAGTGATGCCAACCTACAGCTGAAACATTTGATTGCCACATCACACCAGCCCTGTTTAATATCTTTATTGATAACCCAGACAAGGGGATTGAGTGTAACTCAGTAAGTTTGCAGATGACACCAAACTGGGAGGAAGCATCAATCTGCCTGAGGGTGGGAAGGTCCTATAGAGGGACCTGGACAGGCTGATCACTGAGTTGAGGCCAATAGGATGAAGATTAACAAGACCAGGTGCTGGACCCTGCACTTAGATCACAACAACCCCATGCATCGCTGCAGGCTTGGGGCAGAGCGTGTTGCTGGCCTGCAATACCTTGGCCTCCCAAGGGGCTTTTTCCACCAACAAGCCTAATGGCTGCAGCCAGCTGTACTGCAGAGCAGAATGTAGACAGCAGCAGCACTGATGCAAGTTCAGAGAAGAGTAAGGCAGCTTTTTCAGAGAAGGGTCACTGAGGCAGTTTTTCCACTCTACAGCAGCAGTATGGGAGACCTTTCTAATACACAGGAACCACAATGTCCTGTCAGAACATTACCATCAGTCTCTCTGTCTGCATGGTTATAAGCCAGACCGCTGAGAGCCCACCCAGCAGCAGTGATAAGCAGCAGATATAGCATCTTAAGCATCTCTGCAGCACCCAGACTTCTGTATTTTTACCACAAAGACCACAACATTTATCTCGAGGCATTAAGTTGTTTAAGAGACTCTTGCTGAAGACAATAAGTTACTATTGAATATAATTAATTATAACCAGTTATGCCTCTCTTTTTGTTCCATGAAAGTTGTGCCCTCAGGTCCAAGTGTTAGAGCTTGACACTGAATAATAGCACTGGGAGAACAGCCCATCTCTGCCTCCAGCCACATGAACAAAGACATCTTGTTAACTCGCCATGATCATAATGGTAAGATTTACCAACAGATAAGAACCAGGACAAGAGAAAAAATGATTTAAAAAATAAATAAATAAGTAATGCTTTCAAGGATGGATCTCACCAGGCTTGCCTGAGAAGCCTAAGATGCAAAGCCTCAGTTTGGACTGCACATTTAGTTTCTGTGAGCTGAAAATTTCCTGGAAACTCTCCTCTATTTCCTGTTTTGGAAAAGAAAGAAATGGCACTATTTCCTATCTACCTCTGCATGCAACATTTCAATTCACAAAGCCACTCATGCAAGGAAGAAATATACAGCCATCAAAGGAAGGCTTCTGGTTTTCATTTTAGCCTTGACAAGTACGAGGAGCTATAGTCCAAAGGCTGTTAAGAGTTTGTTCAATGACTGACCCCACTTCCAGGAGGCTCTCTGCAAGAGCTGCACTTTGAGCATACTAGCATACACAAATTAGAGTAGCAGAGTTATCAACAGAGGTGTTACAAACATTTCTTAATATATTTCTTTCATGGACATTTGGATACGGATCTCACCATCTAGCCTTAAAAAAAATAAATAAATGCATAAGAACATAACTGTATACTTTAAGCGTCATCTACCTACAGACCAGCTGTCAGTCATGGCTCTGATCATAGATAACACATTGCAAGTACAAACCACGACAATCTAGCTTGTCTGAGAGTTGTAAGGCAGTATGTGTACAGAAAGAATACGTCCAAAAAAAAAAAAAAAAAAAAAAAGTTCTCCTGCTTCTTTTCTAACCAAAAGTAGCAATAAAGCACAGTGCTGGCCTTTACTTTCCCTCATGGTTGCCTGGAAGTTGCAGGTGCTCTATCAGCTCCCAGCACAGAGCAGGACTCTGGCACGTGGACATTCAGCTCTTTCCTCCATCACAGATCACTCGTTCTGCTTAACAGCCTCCTTGTGCTCTTCCTTGCCATCAGATTTCAAGCACGTATCAGAGGAACTTCAGTGGAAAGGTTAATGTGCTTTCCTAGGTTAAATTTTACTTAACCTATGAACTCCACAAGTGCTAATTCACACATGCTGGCTGCTCTCTCCAGTTTTGTGAATAACCAGAGATGATTTTTGATGGCCCCCTCCACTTCCTGAGAGCTCAGACCAGGCAACTCCATACTGATGGAGCTCCCTGAGCCACTTCTGACACGACCTGTACGCTGCCTGTCATTTCTTTCTCTGCCCCTCATGTACTGACCTTGCTCAGCTGCCTCTGCTTTCTCCATTCCTGTTTGGTAAACTCTGAAACTAGATCTGCAGCTCTCCGCTCTGCCCCTTGGAACTGTTTTGCTCCCAGTTGCATTTTCCATCCTTCAGCCCCAGAAATGTGGCAGAGGAACACACTAATAATCTGATACTGTTCTCAGCCTTGCAGCTACTGGAACAGCCTCACTGCTCTGCAGCACATCTGCTGCATCTCCTTGATACCTCTCCAGTGTAGAGACAGAACACTGAACAACAGTAAAGGCAACAGGATAACCCCAGAATACTGTTCTCTACCTTAGATATGAAAAATTTACTTCTTTGCCTCCCAGGGAAGCTTTGAGTCCGTGCTGCACCTCCCCAGCACCCTCTCCAACAGCCAAACACTCAGCCCTGTCCTCTGACTGCTGCTGAGCTTATTTCTCCAGCAGGTCTTTCTGAGTAGTTCATTCACCAACGCTTGGGTTAATTTTGAGTGTTTTGTTTTTCTACCTCTTTACATGAGTACAATTGAAGAAATGTCACACTGTGTGTCACACTCATTTCCTTCAGCTATGTTTTGCTTAGTTTTATGTACACTAAACCAAAGAAACCACCTCCAGTGTTTTCTTTCACAGCTTTTTTTCCCCCCCTCCCCACAACTGCGGTCACGGTTGCACTGCAGCATTGCTACAGAAACCTACTGTTAAATATCACTTTGCTTATCTTGAAACTTCATACAGCACCTTTCTGTAAATGTAGCTATTTTCTTCTAAACCTCTACGTTTCCCCCCTGCCCCCCTAACATCTGAAATCTTTTATTCACACAACGCAAAGATGGGTTCAAAAGACCAGCAGAGTAAGGTGCTGTTATCCCTCCCCGGCAGTCATGCTCTGGAGGAAAGCCTCTGCTGCAACCTTAACACTAGCTCCAACAAAGCCCTGTTAGATCCCATTTCACATACTTGACATTTGAGGCCTTACTGTCCAGACCCTGTGAATATTTTAAAGTATTTCACTGGTGTGACTCCCAGCTGGAGGAAGCAACCCAAATCAACTAGCAGATCTTACAACAAAACACAACAGACCACAGGGACTTTAGTTCCTAGATTAGTATCTGTAGGGAATGGCAATGGCAGATAACCAGTTCCCAATTATCCAAAAAAGGATAATGGTCACAATCCAAATAAATAAAGAAAAATTTGCCTACCTGTCCCAAGAATCAGGGCTCAACAAGTATTCCAGAAGGAGGAATCTCCAGGTAAGACCTTTCCCTCATGGCGACCAGCTCTTAAATGATGTTAGAAGGGCTGGAAGCTGGTTCCACTCCTTCCAGTCCTGCAGATGAATTGCTTTCACCTGTGCTCCCAAGGCTGGCTGTGTCCCTTCACCAGGTGCTCAACCATTAGTTCAGGCCTTGACTTAGCAATTCCCATACAGTACCTAATTTGTACAGCACCTACACTTATGCATGAGCTGAGCTTGTCAGAGATGGAGGAACCCATTCCTATCTGACTGACAGCCATGACAGTTCTCTCCATGCAGCTCTGGGGTGTGCAGAGGAGGGTGCCAAGGTGCTCCTCTCTTTCCTGAAGAGGCCTTGGGGTGCGGGGAACCAGAGCCCACAAGGAGACATGGACCCCATGAGGGCTGTGCTGGCCTGGCCACAGGACCCCGCAGCTGTGCCCACCTTGAGAGCAGTGCTGGCAGCCACTGTGCACCCAGCCCCCCCCCATCCACAGCCATCATTGACTCATGAAATGGCCCACAAAACGTCCGCCTGTCTCAGCTGCTCAACTGTGGGAACAGGAATTGCAGATTTATTTCCAAACTTTGCCTGTTTTCCTCTGAAATCTCCTTCAGCACTCCTGCAACAAGGAAGGCAAAGACACAATACATACATTAGACAGAGCCCACAGTGGCAGGGTGCCATCTCAGGCTCTAGATCAAGCAAGTGCCATGGTTAAAGGGCCGTCCAAAGGACATGCCAATTGCTCCCCAACACAATTTGACACTTCTGGTATTTTAGGAGCATTGTCTTACCTGCCACTAAAGGTCTGCATGAGTACACAACTTTCAAAGTGTTTTGCTGCGTTTAGTTCAGTGATGAGCAATTTAGTGCTATTCAAAAAATAAACAAACAAACAGAAGAGACTTTGTAGATAAAGAGGAAAATGGTTATCATGCTTTATTTGAAGTGCTGGTAGGTGAAAATTTAAAACAAAAAAACAAAAAAACCCTTTGTTCCACTTTATTTTAAATTATAATCTACACGAAACAGTCCATTAATTATCTAGCATTCATTTGCAAAATACATAAAACAGTCCTTAATGCACGTACAAAAGTAACAGGTAACTGTAAAACCCCGGGGCGCAGATCGGAAGCATCAGTTTATCCATGTGACAATTGCAGGATCTGCAGTCAACAGACACTCCTCTGCACCAAGGGAAATCCAGACCCACCAGACATTTGGATGAACAGATTTCCCCCTCAGATCTGGTGCACAGCATTTCACGAGTGACATTTAAAGGAAATGACCTTTCCCAAGCAGCAGGCTTGTCATGGAAGACCTTGTGTGCCTGGCTCAGCACCAGCTAAGCACACCTGTGAATGGCAAACCAACCCTTGTCCCTCAAAAAATAAACAGACACATCAGTAAAGAAAGACCCTAGTTCTAGCCTGTCCTCAGATGCCACAAGCCACTCCTGTCAATCCTGCCTCTTAATCAGGCAATTTGATATTCTTCCGGGCATGCAAAATTGTAAACTGTCCTTTGCACTGTTGACCCAGCTCCCCAAAACCCAGCACTCCTGAGGACAACTGTTACCTTTCCTCAGCTGTGGAGACCTGTGCTTATCGTAAATAAGGGTTCCAAGCCATTACCAACTAAAATGTACAGCTGATGAAAGTTTTTTGCTAAACTCTCCCTTAAGAGTGATTTTGGATCAGGCTCAGCTGTGCCCAGGCTGGGATGTTGGCATTAGTTTTATCCCAGATTAGTTAACCCTATATTTTACCATCTAAAATCACCAGCCTGGAGAATTACAATCTGCTGTGTCATTTTTAAGGCATCTTGATTTGAGGCAACACCAGCAAATCACATATTTCTGCTTTAGTTATTAAATTAGGTCACTAATTTAATAACTACAATTGAGTGCAATTTTATTGGACCGTTCTGATCTTTGAAGAGCTAAACCCATACATATTCAGCCCTTCACTCCTAATGTACTCTGTTCCCAAGTTTCTGAATTCTCTTCAGAATTCTCTTTAACTTGTGAGTAGTTTTAGCTACCAGAGCTCTTGAGCAGACTCACACGGACATTTATGAAAGCCATACTCCATTCATAAGTGAATCTATTGCATATTATTAATCAAACCTCTTATGGTCTTATGGTCTTCCTGAGCTCAGAACCAGACTTCTCAAACCATCACAACTTCCCCATAACGGTTACCTATCAGTCTAAGAAACAATCTCACATATTGCCTATAGCCAAATGCACACTCCAAAAATTCTGCTTCCCACACTGTGCTGCAAATATATGTGCAAATACATGTGTCTGCATCTTTTCTATACATGGAAAAAGTAAGAGGTATTTCACAAGCAGTCAAAACAAGTAAAAACAGCTTTGGAAATAAGGCAGATTTTTCCTTCTGCTAAAGAGGGTAGGTAATAGCATTTCTTGTTCAACTACTACATCAAGTTGCTAAGGCAGCTCTCGGAGACACCTGAAAAGGAACAGTTGATCCACGTGTGGTACCAGCTCGCAGCAGCTTAATTGTCAGTTGAGTAAGTGTTAGTTCTGACTAAGGTGTTGCTTCTAGAACTGAAAGACATGTCTTCATACACTACATTTGTTTTCTTTTTCTGGAAAAATTTCTTCACCTGCAAAACAAAGCAAGCAGCCATTAAGAAGAGAGCTTGAAATGGAGCCAGCTTATCTTCTAGTAGTCCAGCTGCTTGTGAAAAAACATGCTGCTAAACTTCTCTTGGAATACAATAACATCTTAGAGATTAATGTGGAAACATGACCCAATCATTTCACTCTGCATTGTCAGCCTTATGCAATCCTGCTAAAAGTTCCTTCAAGATTTGGATGTAATTGGAGTCCCAACATAAATTACGCTTATTTTTGTTCATTACCAATGCAACAAAAGATCAGATCCCACAGCCTTGATTTTTCCACAATGATATAATGCTACCATTTTTCACTGTTCTGAAGCTACAAGTACAGCACAAGAGTCTGACCTGGGAATTGACCCTGACAACTGAGTAATGTTTATGGAGTGTAAAAAACCCCCAAAGTGAATAAAATTCTGGGTGCTTTCTGCAAAAAAAAAAAAAAAAAAAGGATGTAAAAATATCTTAGTGAAGTTTCTTGTCACGACTGACAACAAATTAATCAAAACAGAATAAAGAATTGCACCATTTGGGGAAATAGATAAAATGCATGGCTGTGTTGTTGACTGCAGAACTTACCCAGCTTTCCCTGTTGAAAAGCAAACACTATCTCATACTTTACTAAATGCTACAGAAACATAAGAAAACAGTATTTACCTCCAAAAACTTACAGCTAGCAGACATTAAATAAGGGCAAGGAGGAAACAATACAAAACCTTAGGTTTATCAACTGTTTGCTTACTCAATTGCTATTTAACACAATACTTTTGGCTGTAATTGAAAACACACCCATTCACTAAACCTGGATTCAGATTTGCTTTTTGCATGGTAACAGCATACTTACATTGATATGGTTCAAGATGTAGAATATCACTGCAGATAATAGCAGCACTCCTACCACAATGGTAGGAGTGTAGATGGCCAAGGAACCGATACTGCATTCTGTCTGCTTCCCACCTGCATGTGGAATTGTATTAGTAGTAGTATAGAAATGAGGAGAGGTAGAATTTTAATTTTATTATGGAATTTGCAGGCTGCAAATAGATCTTCACAGCTCATAACATCTGTATAAACCTTTGTTTAATTGCTCAAAGATCCCATGAAGGTCCAGTGCATAAACTGCACAGGTAACATCAAAATCAAGCGTTACACTGCTGTTGTCATTCATCTTAAAAACAGATACAACACTAACCTGCAGATCAAAAACCTGGCTCTGTAAAATATGCCCTGGCTCTGTAAAATATGCTTACAGGTTGCTCAGTATATAATAAGAGATCATCTTTGTTATCTTTGCTGCTCTAAGTAAATGCCTGAGGACTTGTTCTGTACTTCCTAGCATAGACTTGCTACGGTGAATGGTTTGTAAGAGACATGAAGTCCCATTAAGGTGATAGAACTGATGCTCAAAGCACCGATTCATTTTCTTAAACAGACTTTTCACACAGTGGAGAGATTATTGTCTGATTTGAACCTTTTTCTTTGTTAAGATAGGTGATTATGGACAGTTTCCCCTTTTAAAATCCCCTTCTGGTTGTTCAGTGGCAGGTAGAAGCATGGTGCTTGTTTAGGACTTGGAATACAACAGTGCAGGGGACTCCGAGTGCTTTCCCCAGCCTTTCTACCTGGCTTAACTAAAGTTCTGCAAGCTTTTATTCTGCCTTTTGTTTTCTAGCACGCCTATAGTTATTTATGATTAAACAAACAGTACCTTTAACCAGCACCATGGTGCCACTTTCATTGACTAAGAGAGAGGAATTTTTCAGCCCTGCAGCACATGCGTATACGTCAGTGTCATTTTCCTGTAGGTTGTGCAGAGTTATCACTAGTTTCTCCTCTTGCTTTGAATACTCCAGGCGATTAGCAAAAGTGGGAAAAATAGTTGTAGTGTTCTGACTCGATACACAGAACACTTTTTCAGGTTGCATGTGAGTCTTGAGCAACACGATCCATTCATCTTCAAACGAGCTTTTCAACACACAGGTAACATTGATAGACTCTCCTTGTTGAGCACGGACAGACAGTGGTGACTGTTCAATGACCCCATTGGTTTTAGCTAAAAAAAAAAAAAAAAAAAAAAAAAAAGAGATTAATGGCTACCACAGAAACACACCACATTTTAACTAGGTAACAAATAGAGAAAAAACAAAGCACAGAAATTTTGATATGTATATATATATACAGAGTAAATCTCTGCACGCTTTCAGTATACTCCATACTTTTTGATGTTATCATTAACAATGTAGACAAGGGAATAAAGACAACTCATCACTTTTGTGCAAAGATAACTCCGGAAAGGTTGCAATCATTTCAGAGAAGAGGTTGAGAATCAAAAAGATACAAAAGATAATTTTAAAACATAATTTGGAGAAACTGTATATAACCAACAAGATGGAATACATTTGAGAAAACACAGTGAAGAAACCTGAAAAGAGAAGCCAAAGGAAGAATGTGATAAGTAGATTTGAATGCCCATTACTGATCCAGCAATAAATTAATTCTCGCATTCCTTGCGGACTGGAAAGAAAGAAAGCTGTCATTTTTGGTAAAGATATTTTCAGGTTAGAGGCTCTCACCAGAAATGCAGGTGTGCCTGAGAATAATCTTCTGAAGAACATCTCAACCCGCTTCCAATGAAAATAAAAACTTAAAAAGGGAAAAGGAAAAGAGCAGAAAATAGAAGAAGAAAATGACAGAAGAATTCTTCTCCTAACCAGAAATGACTATGAACAGGGAAGTTTCCTCTAAAAAGAGATAAAACATGAATCCCTGTATCACTGACAACCAACCCACAAACCCTGCCTAGCACCTAGCACCAGCTTCCTCCTTATCGTTGCATTCTCATTTATGGTGGAGTGGTAAAAACGAAAAAGATTTGAAAAGGCTGCTACCAGAAAAATGGTTCATTGCTTTGCCAGATGTTCATAAAAATTTCTCAGACTGCTGCAAGAACAGCCGTGGGTTCTCACTGTTTGCAAACTTCTGCAGTAACGCCTCTGAGTCACTGTAAATCTGTAGCAAGAATTAAATTAATCATGAATTGATGGTTTAGGGGGTTTATTGACAGTGTTCTAGCTGATGTGTTTTCTGCATCATTTCAGGGAACAGACGTACACTTCAAACCAAGACATTACCTGAGCAAGCATGCATAACTCTGTTAGACTCTCTGCTTTCGTCCCAATCTGTTATTCAAAACAAATCCCTGCATTTATTAATTCACAAGACATAGAGTGGAACCACCGTACCTTTCACGACCACAATGACCGACATCCACTCTCGCATGATGTGACGGCCGTTTTTTTTAATATAGCTGGTGCACAGGTAGGTATTTGAGTCAGATTCCCGTACGTTGTGCACAGTGATTGTGAGATTGGGTCCTTCATTTAAATACGTGATGCGATTAGTAAAATTCGGATATATGAATGAGGTGTTCCTGCTGGAAACGTATACAATATTGGCTGGCGGTCTGCTAGTCTTCAAGTATATCCCCACTTCATTTTCTGAACTGTTCTTTGAACAAGTTATGTTAACGGAGTCTCCTTCCCAAACACTGATAATGTCTGCTGGCCATTCAGTAAATACATTTTCTTTACCTACAAATAAGAAATGCAATGGAAATTATAATATCTCGATGTATTTATATTAAGGTAATTTGCAAATATAACTACTTTGTCAGCAGAACAGCTGTAAGCCTAAACCTCACTCTTCCTATTCCATACATATAATCTTTTGCCTGTCCTAAACCCTACAGTGCCTTTTGTTCCTATTGACCTGCATGACTCAATATCTTCCCAAAGCTTAAAAGACTTCAGACCCCCTGAAAATGGCTTCTGCCCCTCACGCAAAAAAATGTAATCTGATCTATGGGTTCCCACTATTTGCTGTTAAAATATAAAGCTCGTTGAACTGATCTCAATAATTGGAGCTGGCTGAGGATCTAAATCTGGAGTTCAAAGGAATGACAGAATGGCAGAGAATAGAAGAAAATTTTGGATTTCAAAGAAAAATTAAGCTTTAGTGGGAAATCAGGAAACTCGATAATGTAGCTTCACAGGAAGAGAGCAGCAGGAGGTGTGATACTACAGCCTGTATTAAGAAACAAAGGTATAAAAATATGTAAGGAGACCATTTGAGGAGACCATTTCTCTAATGACCTGAAAATAACAAGAAACTGAACAAGAAGTGCTTACAGAGTGAACAGAGAAGAATCAAGATCAAATGGCAAACATGTAAAGGAAATTGCATTCCAAGCAAGAAAAGAAAAATGAAAGAGTCTATTGCATATCTGATAAGAAAACAGTATAGAAAGAGTTGAGTGTTCTGTGTTTATGAGATGATTAAGGTGCCCTACGTACTTTAAACAACTCACCTTAATAAGGGAGCAATCACAGAAGTCAAAAACAGGTAGACATCATTGGAATTTAGATACACTAAGTTAATCCAACCTGCCCAGAAAGGAGAACATTCTGCATCCTCCCTCTAGGGAATTAAAGCAATCCACGAGTCGTTGGCAATTACTTTTCAAAGTAAAAGAGAAAGTGGGCAATTGAGAAGGCTGGAGAAGTGCAGAGTGTTCTGATTTAACTAGCTGGGAAAGAAAGCTCAGGAATTCATCCCCATCAGCCTTAAAATCAGCACTCCTAAGCTGAATCCCATTTATGTGGTGTAATAACCCAAGTAGTTAATGGCAAGCAGCCACAGCCAGTCAATCAATTTCTCCAAAAGATCAGAGTTAAAAAAAAAAAAAAAAAAAAAAGAAGTTCAAGAATTAAATTATATTTGTAGAAATCAATATGAATTCCTTAACAACCAGCAGCAACCACGGCAAAAACACTTCCTATTACCATCAGTTTCAAGGCATCTTCATTTCAAATATGCTGATTTTTGGAAAGGTTTTTTTTCCTCAAGTCACCATCCTTCCCAGTTATTATCAATGAAAATAGACCTGAGATCATGGGGGAAAATAAAGGAGCTACCTGGCTGTTTAGGGCTTCTTTTTTCACTATTACACCCTTTAGACATCCTGATTTCCCCAAGTGTGCCTCCAGTTTGTGCTCTCAGTAGCTACAACAATATACAACATCTGATTTTTCTAGTACACCTTTATTACACTTTCCACGATCACATCCATACTAAGTATCAACATTCATTTCTATCCAGCAGTGGTCTCTCCATGTCAGCCTTGAGAATACAGATACAATTCACACTGAATTACTAGGATAACATCATAGGCTGAGAATACAGATACAATTCACACTGAATTACTAGGAGAACATCATCTGCTATTTCTACAGAGGGTTACTTTTGTTTAGAAGAGCAAACTTTTAAGCAGAATGTTTTTCTGCTTTTTTTATTTTTATTTTTTCCTAAAAATGCATTCTAAAATTTCAGAGCATGTTTTTTCAAAGTTCCAACTGCTAATGGTGAATAATCCAGAGGGTAAACTAAGGAGAGAAGGAAAGAAGGAAGGAGGGAAAGAAGGAAAGGAAGAAAAAAGGAAGAAAAAAGGAAGAAAGGAGAAGAAAATAACTGAGTGAAGAAAATGTAAGAGCAGCTATGTTGTACTTACCATTTTGGCCAGGGAAGAATGGGAGAAGCAGAAGTAAGAGACGCACAAATGCGAGAGGGGACGTCCACTGCATCTTCAAAGTCTTTTTAGCTGATCTTCTCAATTTAACTCAAGTGATGAGTTAAAAGTGCTGTGTGCCACAACTTGGCCTGTTACCTTCCAGCTGCACCAGCTGTTTACTAAATGAAAGTAGCTCCCTCTCCCCAGCAACTAAGAGAGTGGGGAAGGATTTATAAACAGAGGTTCTGACTTCACACTTCACTTCGTACAACGCCCACAGCTTCTAGAACAACCCCTAACTTGTGAATAGAAGCACCCACATCTGAGTGCAGCCAGCTGTAGGAAGGTGGGCTCAGAGCTGCTTCTCACCCTGCCACGTCAGGATGTTATCAATGTGGTCACCCTGCTGGAAGCGTGGGCACTCAGCACGATGGATACAGACAATCAGTGCTCCTGATAACGAGGAACAGCTCTTCTGCAGGATAGTTATCTCTGTGAATGGACAGGGAACAAACGTGTGCCCAAAGAATTCTTGAAAGCTCAAAAGCTGAGAAATTTTCATCAACTATCATGAAGAAATCCAAATTCACATGGGAATGCAAGGAGATAAACAAGCCAAAAGATAACATGATCAGCAGGGTTACCAGTGAATAGCCAACTTTTAAGTTGACATTGTATTGCCACGAGCATTTAGCCATAGGAGGTTCAGCTTGCTTCTTCTCTAAAAGGGTGGTCAGGCATTGGCACAGGCTGCCCAGCGAGGTGGAGTCACTGTCCCCAGAGTTGCTCAAGAACCATAGAGATGTGGCACTGAGGGACTATTGGTGGTAGGTGGATGGTTGGACTGGATGATGTAAAGGTCTTCCCCAACCTTAACAATTTTATGAGTATAAGAACACAAAACTCATGAAAACAAAATTACAGTTGTCAAATTATGCCATTTACTGAGTCAAGATGCCTGGTATTTTCAATCAATCTTTATTTAAGGAATGTGTATTTGCATGCATGTATTTATTTGTAAAAGCTCACATTAAGCAGCATAAATCATTTGCTCTGAGCAAAAAGCATAAATCACTAAAGTAATTTTTCCCTAAGACACTGGATAATTGGTGTTACCAGGAAAACAGAGCCCAGGAGCCACAAAGTAGAACAGCTGGTAGTGACAACTCTCAACATCACAGCTGCACAATAGCAGCAGGAAGGCAGAAGAAAAGCAAAGAAAGGCGTCTGGGTGAGCCACAAGGACCAGCTTGGGACTGCATCTCGTGACTGACAGCTGAACGGTTGTCACTGGGCAGAATCATGCTGGTAATCTTCATTCTAAAAACTTGACCAGCTCTCTGGCTCCAACTGGTGTTAAAGATTAGAAATTAAATCTGTTCACTATTGAATCTCTCAAGTTAATACGATGTATGTTCTCAAATATCTTGTTGTCCCTTTCCCAAAGAACACAGAACCTGAGGGTATCCAAAAAGAAAAGCCTACAAAAAAAAGAGCATCAACCATCAATTTGAACACTGCACCTAAGAACATGAAGATACATATGGGAAAAATAAATCTCCATATTAGAAGACCACATAGAGAGCTCAGATTATTTTTGGTCAGCAGGAGCGTAAAGCCCCCACTGCTATGGCTGGGGTTGCGGGAAGCACTAGTCTCCTGCATCTAACAAGAGTGAAATAGAAGAATGGACACTTTTCTGTATTTCTGAAGTTAATTTTTAACATATCTTTTGCTGTCATTAGTGATTATTAACTTTTCAGTTTCGGTTTTGGTCATCTGCTTTGAAGATCAGGCCTCTCTCCCTAACCAAATCAGTCACTGCTCTGAATGTTTTCCTATGTAAATGCAGAGACCACTTGGGAGCTAAAGGATGAAGAGCCACAGCCATGCTGTTGCATTATGACACAGAGAACACATAGACAACACCTCAACACAAGCTTCTCCTGAGCACAGATGCAGTTTTCCAAACTGCTGGTTTGCATGGTTGAAACTGTCAGATCATCCATTGAGAGGAGTCAGCTGGTCTAAGCCTGTGCTGCTCATCCTTGTGATGATGATGGCTCTCAGCCAAGCACCAAGGGGGGATAGGAGCTCCAGGAAGTTTCTGGCACCGCTGATGAAGGCCTGGAGCTGAACATCTTGGGCAAACTTGGTCCTCAGGGAATGCTTGAGAGAGGTGAAGGCACATTTGTGAATGATACTATGAGATCTTGTCTGGAAGTGTTTCTTCAGTTGGTGGCTGTGCTTCATTGCTGAGGGGCACACAGCTGGCACTTTCTCTTTTGTAGATGGTGTTTCGAGTAACTATGAAGTTTTTGCTTTCAGAAACTTGTTTGATTAATCTAGCAGGTGAGAATTGAAGGAAAAATAGCTGTGAGGCCAGAGGTGCAGGTTGCTTTCAATGAGAATCATAAGTGAGTATAACACCAGAGGGCAGAACCTCCAGAGAGCCACTAGATGTATATTTTTGCATATCCCAGCAGTATGTTTATTTCCATGCCTTAATCACAACTACAGCGATGCTATCATTGCACTATCCTTACTGAGTTTTGCAAGCACTTGTGTAACTAACATTCTTCACAGATCAACTTGTGTTTTATCTACCTGCAGATACTCATTAGTCTCAGCTTGTTATCACTGGCTTCCCTTGTAGTCATCAGAGAGAAACAGGCAGCTTCACAGGTAAGACAAATCGCCTTCAAGACAGCTGTGTCTCCCCATTCACTAGAAAGGGAGCACAAGATAAAAGGCTTAGGCTATAGATACCTTCTAACCAAGTTAACCTTAAACAAATTAGATTAGAAATTCAATTCTTAGACTCTGGAAAGAAACAGCGAACCAGCATGGCAAAGCCAACAGGAGCATTTGGTCCTAAAATAGGACGGGGCAGTTGAATAATTGAGAGGAGCCATGTCAGCTTCTGGCAGTACATAGGGCTCCTGTAAACACTGGAGCTGAGGTGGGTCAAGGATGTAGGTCAGGGTAAAAACGTGCCTTTAGAACTGTGTAAATGATCAACACGAGTTTTAAAACCACTGCAGAGTCTCATCAGGACATAGGGTCAGAGCTATGGGATTAAAATCTACTGACATTGCTTTGATGCAGAGAGGAAACAGGCACCTACTGAATGTGATCCTAGTGAACGCACCTAGTCCTTCTCTGAGCACCCTCCTCCCATTGCACCAATGCGATCTCAACAGCTACCATAACTAAACCAAAAAAAGCCACTGCTTACCTGGAGGAGTCTGCTGGAGCACTATGATATGTCCTAGGAAAACAACAGTAATTAAGTCCCAGCATTAGCAAAGAAGAATTAAAACTAACAGAACTAACAAGCCTGCCGTTGTTTTTCCCCTTTTATTAACTATTTTCATGCCACCGGCTGGCCAAGCATCCCCTTCATGATGAACATCATTTGGCAACTTCGTAAACAATTATTTTGAAAATGAGATCCAGAAATAAAAACCTGTATGCTTCCTTTTCCACTCCCAAGGCTGATTGTGAAGGCCTGTTACCCACAGGAACACGATGTTTTGTCAGACCATACCTTGACGTCTCTGGAACCGCCTCTTGCAATAATATGTGGACAGCAGTGCTCCTCCTGCACAAGCCCCCAGAATAAGGAACATGGCAGTGAGGCCAGAGTGTTTGTTTTCACCGACTGAATACTGGTGATTACCTGCAGAGCAGAAGAAAATGAATCCAAAAGAATCCAACAAGTGTGCCAGGATAGCAGCCTGCCTCATAAGCATCTGGGAGGAACTGTGTGTAGCACTCCTGCAATGCAGCCCATAAGGGCTGGTATTGGAAGTGGAACTGATGAAGGACAGAACAAATGGCCCATGGCTTTGGATACCTTAACGAAGATACTTGTAACAAAAGAATGACTATCAGCATTCAAAACAATCTCTTGACTTCCCATCAGGGCATATACGTCTATCATCCAAAATAACCAAGCACAATAGGTGTAAGAGCTCATACACCGAAAATATGAGGAATAGCTTTGTGAAGTCTTCCAGTGGTCTTACAGTTAGCCAGTTTTACTTGTTTGGATGGTTGCTGTTTTGCTAAAAAACAGATGTAGAAAGCAAACACTGGAAAAACATTTTTCAAAGCAGTATGGTTCTGGATAGCGTGCGTTTCAGATACAGGGATTTGATAAAGACAGGATGTTCAGCCACGTCAATGATGAGTTCAAAGGCTGCCACTAAGAACATGAAGTTTGATCAGGATTCCAAAGACCTCAGTAGATATGAACCTAAACATACACATTTCTGGAACAGCTGTTTTAATACTGGCCACAGCAAACTGTCTGAGCAAAACTGTCTCAAAATGTAAGGCAGACAAACATGTTGTGGAAAGACTGATCCAGATCTCCATAATCAATGATGTCACCTGTATTCTCATCTGTCACTCCAGTGTAGCACGTCAGGGCATTCTGAGGATTGACATGATCTGTCTGTGTTTCACAGCAGATTTTTCCTGTCTCTGTCATGCTGTGTCTCCTATCTTCAAAGGAATCTGAAAGGTAAAATTGTTAATTATAAATATGGATCATTTCTAAGATCTTCAACCAAGGGTTATAAGTCAAAACCAGGGATTTTTGGTCTACCACAAAGACTTCCAGCTGAGTTTACCTCCAGACTTCAGGAAGCCACACGGTTCTCCTAACCCCTCATCCTTCTCCCAGAAAATGGCATAAGCCCCATCACGAAACATGTTTTCTTGCTGAAAACACATAGTAATGTGTGTTTCGTTGATCACCAGCTGAATATTTTCATTTGAAAATATCTCATTTTCTGTTTCGCCGATTATTTCGAAGTCTGTGTAATCGGATGGTTTGCATCTTTCTTCCCCACAGTCTTTACAGTAGTAGACTGTCACAGCTGTTCTGACGATGCGAGAGCCATCTGCCCTCTCAGCATGGTTAGCTCTGGGCACAGCAACACCTACAGGAGAAAGCAAAGGGGAAAAAAAAACATTTCCTATCAGTTTTCTCCCAGACTCCTAGTGTTAGGAGAATGGGACTTGAGTTCTGGTGGACAAACCCACTTATGGCTTAGAAGGCACTATCTGCCAATGGGAAATTTTTATTGGGTACTGGATCCAGTTCCCCAAATAATTTTTGGAGTAGAAATAGGATACTACTCTGTCCTGCTGCTATTAGGGTTTGAACTAGGAAGCTGGTTGCCTGGGAAGCAAGTTGAGAGACATCTCTCTTGAGCTAAGAGATCCTCTGCTCAGACAGGCTCAGATAATTCACCCCTTATTTTCTATGCTTCCACAAACCTACAGCCAGGTCTATCTCCAGCAGATATCGTTGTCCCAAGACTATGTTGACAGCTGAGCTGGCAGACTCCATGATCAGTGCCCCATGATCAGTGCCACACTTTCAGTTTGGCATTCCCATAGGCAGCACTTCTACAGACAAGCAGCACATCCTGGCTGAAGTGCTGGAGTGCGCTGGGCAGTGAGAGCTGGCAGAGGAGTTTGAGCCTTTCAGGCTCTCTTGGTAAAGAGCTAGTCCTGTAAGAAAGGACTAATCTCACCTGACTTCAGATGGATTCAAAGAGTCATTCTTCCT